CAAGGCTTTTTTAACGTGAGATCTCCGAGCCCGTGGGCTCGGCCAAAAATATGCCCATCGAACCCGAATAAACGGGTTCAGGGTCGGTTTACCTCCCCGAAAGAGAATCCGCCCTTCGGCGTAGCCTCTTTCGGGTTCCTCACCGCCCGAAGGCAGAGAGTTCAACCGATCAGCCAGTCGACTTGACTGACCGACGATATTCAGTCACCCCCTTACGAGGGCGTCATGTGGCACAAGGCCTTTTTAACGTGGGATCTCCGTGCCCGTGGGGTCTCCGAGCCCGTGAGACCCCCGAGCCCGTGGGCTCGGCCAAAAATATGCCCATTGAACCCATATAAACGGGTTCAGGGTCGGTTTACCTCCCCGAAAGAGACTCCTCCCTTCGGCGTAGCCTCGTTCGGGTTCCTCCCCGCTCGAAGGCCGAGAGTCCAACCGATCAGCCAGTCGACTGACTGACCGACGACATTCAGTTACCCCCACCCACGAGGGTGTCATGTCGCACAAGGCCTTGTTAACGTGGGATCTCCGAGCCCGTGGGCTCGGCCAAAAATATGCCCATTGAACCCGTAGAAATGGGTTCAGGGTCGGTTAAAAGATCTTCAAGTTGATTGTGTTCGTATAAGTGTTTTCGTTTCTGGACACAAAGTCTGTAAAAACTGTCCAAAAATGTTCTGCATTTACGAAGAGCCTTCGGCTATAATTTTAACCTGTATCAAGGTTGATTTTATTTAAATATTTAACTGAACGTATTGGTTGGAAAGTAGATTATGCAAGACAATATTTTAAACGAAACAAATAAATTGAGCAATTTCCGCAAAAATTAAAAGAAACACTAAAACCCAACTAAATAAATAAACAAGTTAACAAACTACGAAGCGCGGGTAAATAAAATGAAACGTAAATATATATATATATATATATATATATATATATATATATATATATATATATATATATATATATATATATATATAATTATAGATAACTAGACTCGTTTCGAAAAACCCTCGAATTTTTGATTTGCTAATAATCAAATCAATCTCACGGGAAAAAAAGGTTTTAAAAAAAGAAAGAGCTACAAACATGAACTTCTGCCGACAGGCCATAAAAAAATGCCCAAAATATAAAGCAGGCCATAAATTTTGTAAATTATGAGCAGAGGAGAAATTAGCCATTAGCTTTATAGGATCAACCTAACCAGCTATTAAACTCTAAAACTGAAATCCTTAACGTATGTAGACATAAAAAATCTTGGCTACTAGATTAGACGGTTTCCCGTTTATTGTCATTCCACCTTGACGTTGTTGTTTTTTTCCCCTCCCCATTTTTGTTGAATAAATATTTACCCGCCCCCTCCACCCGCTTAGGTTTGTGTTTGTGGTTCTTTGGTCACGTGGTATGATTTTAGCTATCGCCTATAAATAAATATGCGTTTCTCTTTGCCTCGTTAGCCTTACTTTCCCTGACGATCCGTTTACTAGGTATATATATATATATATATATATATATATATATATATATATCTTCGGTAAATCGAATCGAGTTCTCTCAATCACTGTGTGATTATCTAAAAATAAATACGCTCAAATTCACCTTCATCCCTGCCGTGTGCCAACGGCTTAGTGGTTGAATCCCCGACCAATGCCAATTCAGTCCGTTTTCGATCCTGGCTAGAAGCAACCAGACGTCTCGCCACATTGATGAGCTGTGATACAGCGAAACATTCTGAGAATGAATATATATATATATATATATATATATGTATGTATATATATATATATATGTATGTATGTATATGTGAAACAAAAGACAAGAGGAAAAAATGTTTAAACCACATAATTAAGTAGAACATGCATGTATCTATCTATCCAAATGTAATGAGAACGAAAATAATGTAAATTCTAACGTCCACAGCATTAACTCAAAAGACGAGTCAGCACCAAGAGTAAAGCAATAATTATTTATTATAAATTTTTACATGTGGACAAAGGCAATTACCCACTACAAAGATGCATTCCTGTTTTCGATGTCTTATTTGCAACTCGATTGGTGGGAACCCAAAATGTTTATGGACAATTCTATTCAAAAACAAGTCGCCTAAGGTCCGTCACTTCCCTAGTGTTTTTTTTCTAAGGAAGCCACCTGTCCTTATTACATGCATAAAAAGTCTCTATCTGATTGCTATCTAAATGTCTCATTATCATCGGTGAAGAAACTGTCCTTCGTGTAATGCCATGTAGGCAAATTATTATTACATAGTAATTCAGCACTCTTCTATAGACATTTCCCTTAATAGCCTCTGGAATACATTATATTTCGCTAGTCCAATTCTATTTTGAATCTATGAGTCACCTATTCTATCTCACGTTATGACTCTACCCGGATAGTCAAATATGCATACCTGTTTGTTTCTGATGCAGCAGTTTTAATAGATTTCAGCGTTCCCGAAAACTATTTTTCTCTGGGCTGCATTTTCAGAATGAACGTTAGCTCGCGTCTCACCAAATTTGATTTGATAAAAATTACATTAAATAATAATAATAATAATAATAATAATAATAAGAAGAAGAAGAAGAAGAAGAAAAATAATAATAATAATAAGAAGAACAGAGAGAGGTTTAAAGGGAGATAACCGTGGATTCGAATTCAGAACATTATCATTGCTAACTCTCTCCTCCAATTTGCAGACCCTGGTTACTTTATTCCTAATACTTGATATAATGCAAAAATATTACAATGATAAATTTGGTCAATAATTTATCCCTATATTTCTGCGATGTCGTATTGTAATTTACATTGTTCGGACTGGTAGTTGTCATTTTTATTACCATAACCATGACGTTTTGTCCGTTGTACGCTCTGGCCAGAAACGTCGTAAATATAGCAATGAAGATGAGGACAACAATCCGAACAATGTAAACAGTGGTCAATAATTATTTATAGCTATTTATACTGGGATTCCTGTATGTAATTACAAGTAATCCATAATAATATTTTAAATTTTGGAATCATATGGAATACAAACGTTTAATTGTCTTTCAATCATTGCGCCTCATCTGTTATCCTCTTCTTTACATTGTCCTTGAGGAGGCACGGTGGAGTAATGGATAGCGGAATCTTAGAGCCGAGTTCGAATTCCAGTCGAATCCATTACATTTACTTACGTGCTAACACCCTTGGGAAAGGTGTGAACCCTCTTTCTTCTCCCTCCAGCTATCGGTAAATAGCAGGACAGACTAGGTTCTATAGCCTTGGATGGAAACTGGTCTAGGAGAAGGAAAACTCTGAATTCAAAACCTGCTCTTAGAGGAGGGTGAATGGAGTCTCTATGAGCCTTGGTTGGCAATCCATTTAGTGATGGTGTCACAATAAAAACACCCTTGATAGCCCTAGCGAAGCATCAAGAATTCAGCTATTTGACAAGATTATGAACTACACCCATCAAAGTATTGGTGAGTTCAATCTCGGCTGAGGCCGCAAGATGATGATGATGACATTGTCCTAAAATAAATATAGTTTTTGTTATGTAGAAATAAAACGTTGTTGCCGACACTTGTGTTTGAACATAGATCGCCAGGGAGCAAACACAGGCAAACCCATTATTGAATTGAGTAGACCACATGACTATAAATGAAACGCATAAGCAGGAAGTGGGGTGACGTCCA